CCTGTAAATCCATCTGGTCCAGGACTTTTGTTTGCTGGGAGTTTTTTGATTACTCCTCAGTTTCATTAGTTGTTATTGGCCTATTCAGGTTTTCTGCCTCTTCTTGATTCAGCTTTGGAAGGTTGTATGCTTCTAGGAATTTGTCCATTTCCCCCATGTTGTCCAATTTGTTGGCATATAGTTGCTCATAATATTTTCTTACAATCCTTTGTGTTTCTGTTGGATCAGTTGTTATATCACCTTGTTCATTTCTCATTTTATTTATTCAGGTCCTCTCTCTTTGTTTCTTAGTAAGTCTGGCTAAAGGTGCATCAATCTTATTTACCTNCTCTCTTTGTTTCTTAGTGAGTCTGGCTAAAGGTGCATCAATCTTATTTACCTTTTCAAAGAACCAGCTCTTGGTTTCATTAATTTTTGGGGGTTTTTTTTGGTGTTTTTTTTTGTCTCTATGTCATTAATTTCTGCTCTGATTTTTATTATTTCCTTCCTTCTACTTCCTCGGGGCTTTTCTTGCTGTTCTCGTTCTAGTTCTTTTAGTTGTTGTGTTAGATGGTTCATTAGATCTTTTTCTTGTTTCTTGAGATAGGCCTGTAATGCTATGAATTTTCCTCTCAGGACTGCTTTCGCCGTGTCCCATAGGTTTTGGGTTGTTGTCTGTTCATTTTCGTTACTTTCCATGAAGTGTTTGATTTCTTCCTTGATCTCCTTGGTAACCCATTCATTGTTTAATAACATGCTATTTAGCTTCCATGTGCTCGAATATTTTTGAGTTTTTTTATGGCGGTTGATTTCTAGTTTCATGGCATTGTGATCTGAGAAGATGCTTGATATGATTTCAGTCTTCTTATATTTGTAGAGACTTGCCTTGTGCCCTAACATGTGGTCTATTTTTGAGAATGTTCCATGTGCACTTGAGAAGAATGTGTATTCTGCTGCTTTGGGGTGAAATGTTCTGTAAATGTCAATTAAATCCATTAGGTCTAGTGATTCATTTAAGGTCTGTGTTTCCCTGTTGATTTTTTGTCTTGATGATCTGTCCAATGCTGACAGTGGGGTGTTAAAGTCCCCCACTATGACTGTGTTGCTGTCAATCTCCCCCTTAAAGACCCCCAAGAAACTTTTTATATATTTAGGTGCTCCTGCATTGGGCGCATAAATGTTTATAAGGGTTATTTCCTCTTGAAGGATTGATCCCTNGGGTTATTTCCTCCTGAAGTATTGATCCCTTAATAATATGTAGTGACCATCTTTGTCTCTTGTTATGGTCTTTATTTTGAAGTCTGTTTTGTCTGAAATAAGAATGGCTACTCCAGCTTTCTTTTCCTTTCCATTTGCATGGAATANTGTTTTGTCAGAAATAAGAATTGCTACTCCAGCTTTCTTTTCTTTTCCATTTGCATGGAATATTTTACTCCACCCCTTCACTTTTAGCCTGTGTGAGTCTTTCGCTCTCAGATGCGTCTCTTGTAGACAGCATATATTTGGGTCCTGTTTTCTTATCCATTCAGCTACCCTTTGTCTTTTGATTGGCCCATTTATTCCATTTACATTTAAAGTTACTATTGATATCAACTTATTTAATGCCATTTTTCCCCTTTATGCTGATGTACCTTTCTCTCACTATTCCTTCTTTTTCTTAGAGCAGTCCTTTTAGCATTTCTTGCAATGCTGGTTTGGTGGTACTGAGCTCCTTTAGCCTTTTTTTGTCTGAAGGTCACTGTTTTGTGGGCTGATTTCCGTTCTCCTGGGAGGTGCTTGTGTATCACCCAATGTGAGGAGCGTCTAGGTTTGGCTCTGGTGTCCTTAGGTAGATTGTTGATCTGAGGCTCTCCGTGGGCCACCTTCCCTTGTCAGCTATTTTGCAGCCTTATAGTTGCCTGGTCTTGTTCCAGAGTCCTCTGTAGAGTCTTTAGGGTGCATGGTGGCTAGTGTAGCTCAGGGTGTCACTCCCCTTAGAGGTGTCGCTGTCAGGCGCTCACTCTGCGGGGGTTAGTCTCTGCTCCACCACCAGCTCCTCAGTCCCTCCCCTGTCCTCTGATTCTAGTTCCCCAGGCTCTGACCTGCTGCAGCTTCAGATTGATTTCAGCCTGTTGCCTTTTCTGTCTGGGCTGTTTCGGCAGCCTGGGCTCAGTGGGTTCAATTAAAAACACCTTCTGGTGAGCCCTGTGCATGCCCAGCCCCCAGCAGGGGTTTCAGCGTTTCCTCCAGTTCCCAAACAACAGTCCCTGAGAGTCTTGTTCTTATAAAGTCCTCCTGTGAGCTGCTCTCCCTTCACCCTCAGGTCTGTGCCCTGGGGGGGTGTCTGGGGCCTCAGTGAACAGGACCCCCCCCTTTCCTATTGGGGGCAGTGCTCCCGGCTGCAGGAGAGGCCAGCGGGCTCCGCCCCTCCCTGTTCAGCTCTGGTTGGCTGGTCGCACCAAGACCTCCCCTCAGACCATCCACTGTGCAGACCCCAACCCCAGCCTCTGCTGGTCTGTCCCCCAGTGCACCCTGGGAAGGTGGGGGCCAGTTCCGAGATCAGACTCACACACACACAAAGCGACACACAGGGAGAGAGTCCGCCCTGCAAGGTCCCGCCGCCCTCGCTCCAAGGCCCCCAGCGGGAGGGGACCCAAAGTCAGCTCCACTCAGCTCCCTGCACCGCTGGTCTCAGCAAAGCTGGGGCGGCTTCACGGCCACCAACGGGGCCCCTCAAGGCTGGTGACAGATCCCAGCCTCTCCGCACTGGGAGCTCAGGGCGGGAGGACACCCTCAGGGCTGGTCACAGATCCCAGCCTCTCCCACTGGGAGCTCAGGGCGGGAGGACACCCTCAGGGCTGATCGAAGGTCCCAGCCTCCTGGCACCGGGAGCTCAGGGCGGGAGGGCTCCTCCCCTCCCCCGCACCTCGCAGATTCTGCGCTTTTGGGGCTCAACACAATGCCCCACAGGGAGGCAGAGGGTCCCCGTGTGCGGCTGCTCAGCGCAGTCCTCTGGTCCCTTACCACTCGGGTGCCACACCCTTTGGGACAGCCTTCTCTATGCTCCGTACCCTGGGCATTAGACCAGCCGCCACTAGAGGCTTTGTTTCCTAGGAAGGCGCCGTCCCCTCCTCGCGGGCTCACCGCTTCCCTGGGTCCCTCTGCCCTGTGCACGGGGCACACCTTCCCCTCGTCGCTCCGGGTGTGGGATCCCCGCTTCTGGAGGCTGGTCCACACTCCCGAGAGGAGGGAGCTTTGCAGCCTCCAAGCCTCAGGGCTCGCACCCAGCACAGGCTTCAGGGGGGACTCCCCTTCCTACGCCCCCTCTCTTATGGGACTCGTGATGTTTCTTCAGTGCTCCCCCCTCTCACTCCATCCACTCAGGTATGTTTTTCTGATTTTTCCAAGCTGGCTACGTAGAATTTTAGGAGTAAATCGAGTCCGTGGCTGGGAGTGGGGGCCTCCGCTGCTTCTCACAGTGCCACCAGCTTCCCAATCTGTCCTCCTGTTTTTTAATTGTTTTTTCTTTTTGGATCTGTTGTGATTGAGTGATTTTTTTCTACCCTGTCTTCTAATTCACTGATCCAGTCCTCAGCTTCCTCTAATCTGCTGTTTATTCCTTCCAATGTGTTCTTTATTTCTGCTGTCATTCTTCATTTCCTTCATAGTTTCTGTATCTTTCTTCATGCTGTTGAGCATCCTAACAATCCTAACGATCAGTATTCTGAACCCTATACCTGATAGGTTGCTTATCTCCATTTCATTTAGCTCCTTTTCTGGAGACTTCTCTTGTTCCTTCATTTGGAGCTTGTTTTTTTTGTCTCCCCATTATGACTGTCTGTTTAGGTTTGTTTCTATGTATTAGGTAGATCTGCTAGGACTCTCAGTCTTTTTGGAGGGTCTCTGGTGCAGGCCAATGTCAGACGCAGTTTGTGACTGGCCTTGAGCACCCTGTTTGGAGCTATCAACAGCTCTCAGCTTGAGGTCCCCTCTGCTGGGGCTGGGTGGGGTTGGACAGGACCAGGATGCACACCAAAGTCTGCTTTTCCCAAGGCCCAGGTCCAGAAACATATCAGGCAAAGACTCAAAGCACGCTGAGTTCTGCCTCTGGCTGCAGACTGATTAATCTGATTCTCTTAATGAGCCTCGGGCTGTAGAAACTCCACAGGGTGGGGCAGCTGGTTGTTAACTATCTCTCAATGAGCCTCAGGCTATAGAAATTCCTCTGGGCTGGGTGAGAGCTTTTCCAGCAGGGTGAGGCAATTGCTTCCCCCTCAGGCAAAAGCTGCTTGGAAGGTAAATATCTATCTCTGCAGCATGGAGGAATGACTTGGCACAGGAATCCAGAGGGGTGCCCTCTGAGCTCTATCTCCAAAGCCCACGACCCCAGACTCTCCCCACACAGCTCCGGTCCACTCTGCCCTCCCTCTGCCGGAGCCCAAGGTGAGTGGTGCACACGAAACTCTGTGCCTTGGCTCTTGAAGAGGGGGCCTGCATTTCCAGCCATCCCTCCCTGGCAGATAGAAACCCGGCTGCTTTTCACAGCCACATGTTTTGTGGGCACCTCTCTCAGGGCTGGTGCTCTGGGCTGGGGAGCCCCACGAGGGGTTGAGGCCCCAGAGTCGTCAGTGGGAACCCCCCACAGCTGAGCTCTCCCTCCGGACCTTCAGCTGCTGCCTGTGGGAGCCCAGCCAGCCGTCTCGTGCTCCCGCACTTCCTACCCGTCTCTATGTGGCCTCCCCTTTTCCTCCTGGATTATGAGGGTGCTCCCCAGCTCGTCTTCAGTTGAAGATGGTTTTTCTATAGTTTAGTTGTAGTTCCAGTTTGGTCCTGGGAGAGCGTCAGTGTCGCTCCCACTCAGTCCACCGCCGTCTTTGACCCGCTAAGTTCAATCCTTAAAACCATTACTCTGAACTCTATGTCTTATAAACTGCTTACCTCCATCTCATTTACGTCTTTTTCTAGATAGTCCTCCTTTTCTTTCATGTGTGGGCTGTTTCTTTGTCTCCCCATTTTAATTGTCTCTTTCGTTTGTTTCTATTAGGTAGACCTGCTATGGCTCCCATTCTTTGCAGGGTGGGCTTTGTAGTAAGTGTCCTTTGGGACCCAGTGGCACAGTCTCCTTGCGGCCCTGAGCTGGATGCTCCAGAGGTGCCTTTTTTGTGTGCTCTTGGGGTTCTGTTGTAACTGAGTCTTGATTACTGCCTCGTTCGTGGTTGGGATCTCCTCTCAGGTTGGCTAACTGTGAGGCTCAACCCGGACCACGGCACGCGAGCTGTTGTACGGGCCCAGTCTCGAGGTAGTTTCTGCCCTTCCTTATTTAAAAGTCTCCTCTTCGGTCAATCTTCAGCTGGTATTTCAGGATGAATGCTCTCCAACTTAGCTTAGTTCCAGGTATATTCTCGGAAGAGGTGGGAGAAAAATCTCCCTACTGCACCACCGTCTTCCAGACCCCCTCTGTAGAGAATTTTATAAAAATTTATTTGAGCCAACTTGATGACAATGCTGAGACGCAAGGTCTCCAGTGCTCCCCAGTTTGGGTTTTTCTAATAGTCACCTCAGACTCTCCAGGCCTCCACACTCCTAGGTGTTGGTGCCATCACACCCCACTTCTGGTACTAAAGTCTGCATTTGTTTCCTACAGGTGGCTGTACCCAAGTCCCACAGGCCCAGGGGCTTAAACAACAGAAATTCACTGTCTTAGTCCTAGAGGCTGGGAGTCAAGGTCAAGGGTCACAGGGACAGTGCCCGGAGGCCATAAGAGGACAGCCAGGGCCTCCCCACCCCTGCCCCAGGGGCTCTGGCGTCCTTGGCTTGTAGAGCTTCCTCTATGCCTGGCTTCTCCCTGTGCATGTCTCTGTGCCCAAGTCCCCTCCTATAAGGACAAAGTCCTATGGGATTTGGAGCCGCCCGACTCCGGCAGGACATTACCTTATCGGGGGGTGGCAGATAGCCCTGCTGAGAAAGCCCAGGAAAATATGAGAGCAGGGTCACCAGATGCTCCGGAGAGCAGGGTGGTGAGCTCTGCCACCAGGGGACCCGCGGAGAGGGCACGGTGCCACCACCCAGCCAGACGGCCTCCATGCCAGCTGAATCACAGGGACATGTGGCCCTGTCCCAGCACTGACAGGCAGTATGGTGGTGGGGAAACGGGGGCCAGGAGAAAAGGCAGAATGAGACTAAGAGCAGTGCCCTCAGGCGCCCAGCGTTGGCTCATCCACCTTGGTCACAGGGTCCCCATGGGAAGGACGAGGGAGCTGCCAGCCCCAGAGCCCAGCGTCCATGAGTGACAGCTCTACAAGGGTCCAGACCTAGAGCACGTACAGGGTGCCACCAGCCTGGACATTGGCTGCTGGAGCCATGCACCCCACCTCACCCCAGGACAATGCTGAATGCCTCCTCTGAGACCAAAGACCCACGGGCTGGTCCCCAAGTAGCAGAGCCCTTGGGAGCAGGAGTTGGGGACAGGAAGGTCTGATGTCAGTGCTGCTCAGGGGATGACACACAAGTCCAGCCACACAGTGCCTCCCCTGCCGGACAGCTGAGGGCCCCAGGGCCCATCTCCCAGGGTACACTCTGAACTGGGGTATCTCTCCACCCCTCAGTGGGCCCCATGGCAGGGGTTAGAACAGGAGATGCATAGAACAGGGGGACTGAGGGTCCAAGGGACTGAGCAGAGGGTTGTCTAGACCTCCCCTCCAGGGCCCTCCCAGGTCCCCAGGACCGGGGCCTCTCCCTCCCCCACCACCCTGTGCCCTTGGGGGTGCCCAACCTCAGAAGCACCATTCTGTCTGTCCCCAGGTGTATCCGTATCCTTGTTAGCCATGACCCCGGGGTGCAAAGCCCCAAAAGAAGGCGCCACCGTGACCCTGGCCTGCTTTGTGACGGGGTACAACTTGGCCACCTGGCACATGGGGAGTAAGAAACTGTTTATGGATAAGACCCTGATCACGCAGATGGAGAAGAAAGTCACCTACATCTTCTACCAAATCATCGCCTGGAAGCCCGGCCTGCACAGCTGTAGCGCCGGTGGAACATCCCAGACCCTCCAGTGGCCAGGTGGGTGGCCTCCAGCATGTTCCAGCACGTCCACCAAGTCCTGACCCTGAAGACCGAAACAGGGGCTGGGCCCCGACTGGGCACCCAGCCACCCCTCAGAGCAGCTCCCTACCCCCTACCCCATCCTCAGCTGCTCCAGCACCCGAACCCAGTCCCTTCGCCCCTGTCCCCAGAGCACAGAAGGCAGCAGCTGAGC